GTCACAGGTCAGAGAGTCTTTTGGGTTTTTTCTTTTTAAAATGTATGTATGTCTGAATTAATTAACTCATTTATTTAAGACAGGGTCTTATTACATTTTCAGCTAACCTTAAACTTGTAATCCTTTTGCCTCAGCGTTGCAAAATGCTGAGATTACAGGTGTGCACAGCCATGCTTGTCTTTTTAAAAATGGTTTTTACCAAAAAAATTCTTTTTACAGTGATTTTCCTTCCTCCTTTTTTGTTTTTATGGGTGGTATACGGGATTGAACCTAGGGTATTACATGTGCTAGGCAAGCATTCTACCTGAGTCACATCCCTAGCCCTTACCAAGATTTTTCAAACAAAATTTCAAGTACATAAAAATTAAAAAAAAATAATGAACTTTATATACACTTCCTACAACTTTAATAACTGTTAAAAGCATGGCCAATCTTATTTCATCTACCCCACCTTCCTTCCTTGGATAACTTTCAAGAAAAACTTAAGACATGACTCTTCATCCTCAAGCCATTTGTTGTCTTACTACATAATTTTTTAAAGCAGTTCACTTTCTCCTGACAAGACCATGATGTGTATACAGGTATTCTGTTTCTACAGTTATAATTTAGGATCTGCTTTAAGGATAAAACTGTAGTAATTTTATCTGGTATACTATTTGGTTTTATTCATCAGATACCAATCAAGGGCTTACCACTTGACACCAAATAGTATCACTGGATAGAAGTTACTAAATATGCACACAGTGACTTAGGATAGACTGTTTCTACCCACGAAGTCATTTAATAAAGGAAGTCTGTGCTATTTCATGGCTTGGTGAACACATAAGACTTCCTTACAATACATTCAGGCGAAGCTGCTGAGACTGGCAGTAGGCTGGACTTGGGCAAGATGCCTTCTGAGGCCTTTTCCATCTCAAGGATTCCCTGAACCTTGTTTTCTAGTTTTAAAAAATGTCATGAGTAAATATCAAGAAAGGACTCAGGATCTTAACATTTATGTATGCATTTCCCACACAGTTTCCAAATATCTAATACCATATAAAAAAGAAAGATTTTGATTCTGCTTCACACTGATACCTGCCTTCTCTCTTTAGCATAGTATGACTACAGCTGGGAATCTGAATTCCTTCCCAAAGTCAGGAAAATCCTATGCTATGATTTATTTATATTCCTTATGTCTGAGGACTTGTCCCATGAAGGAACCTATGGACTCCCGCAGGGAGAGCAATGGCCACATGCCCTCACATAAGTTACATTTGTAACAAGCACAGAAATTCAGACATTCATTTTTGAGAGCACAAAACAGAATTTTTAATATGAGTGGTTTTAAGTTTTGAATAAATGAACTTGCTGAATGTAGGAAGAACTTGATTTGTCCTAACAATATCCAAATTAATCTCTTTCATTTGAAATTTTCTTTATTCCTCAATTTGTTCCAGAAGGCAGTAATATTCAATCCATCCAGGTATATACACATACATATTTCATATAAACTAAATAATAAGTTGTATTTTTTGAAGGTGTGAATCTGAGAAATTAGTTTCTCTAAAGTAGACTGGCAAAATTGAAGTGAAGGACACAGATGCTATAGCCATCTCAAAGAGAAATAGTATTTTGAAATAGAATTATTACTAATTTGAATTTAATATATATTTTTTGGGCAAATAACATTTACTCTAGGTTTGATCAAAGGGTTAGTTTTATAGTATTCTATTAAGATAATGAGAGAAAAGTCTTTTCATATTCATTTTCTTATGCTTTCCATACATTTTGGGTGTAAGTCTATGAAATGCAGTTTGAGTTTCTACTTAACACAAAATCTGAAAAGCTGGATAGGCTTGACAAGTTAAAGCAGGAAAGGGTAACTTGTCCACTAGGGTATTTCAATCTTCTCTTTAAAAAGACACGGATTACTAATGAGCTGTGTCTTCAGTGTCAGAAAATAGGTGAAGGTGGATTATGTGTCCTTGACTGGGCATTTCATGTTGCAGTAGAATGCTTCATAGAGACAGAATATGAGGTCAGGGGCATCAAGATCTGCCTGATTTCTAGAGGAAAAGGGAATATACTTAAATTAAGACAGTAAGTTCATATGTCAGAAAGCAGCTCGTTGTTTGACGTAAGTTTTCTGAGTGCCTATGTGCCTGACCCTGTGTTTAGCACCACAGAATCAAAGATAAGACAGTTACTACCATTAAGTAGGAGAGAGAGAGAGAGAGAGAGAGAGAGAGAGAGAGAGAGAGAGAGAGAGAGAGAGAGAGAGAGAGATGCTAATACAAATGGCACAATAACCTTTATTTTAGAGTGCTTCTCAATATCCTGGGATGGAGGAAAGGAGGTTATATGTTTTACAATGTGTTGCTCTTTACAAAAGAAGATTATTTTAGTGATCTGTGGTTAAAGAACAGATTTTTTGATATACTTTTGTCCTAGGGATGATATGACTTCTTTTGACTCTTTCTCTGGAACTAAAGTTTGCATCAGTCAAATGGCTACAGTGGATTTAGTAATTTATCCGTAAACAATGAAATCCCAAACTCTTACTCCAAAAACACTTTGTTTCAATGTACTGACTACATATATAATTATAGTTAGCAAAAGATCTGTCTCCCTGTTTCTGATTGTCTTTTATTTTCCTCTTTATTTATACTTTAAGAGAGCTTTTGAAAATAGGAAAGGGACCAAGAGATGGAGGAAGGGGAAAGGAGAAATGGAAGGGGATGCAAAAAGAATTAAGTTGTGTCATGTACATGTATCAACTATCCATAATGAGTGTATTTATTGTGTACCACAAATATGTACTAACAAAAAAATTACAGTTAGCAAGTTTTAAGGATCCTTCATTTTCTAATCTTGACGTTTACAGTTGAAAAAAAACCACTGAGAAAAAAACATGCTTTCAAATACGTAAGTTACTAGCGTACTAAATAAGCAGTGTATGGTATTTTAATTTTTTTTAGTTCTGAAATAACCAAACAATACTCCATGAAAATAGCAGAGGAGATGCTCAAACGGAAATAAAAAGTACAGAAATGGTTAAGCTCGTGTATCAGTATTTTGTAGCTGCAGCAACAATGAAGATAGGAGCCACTCTTAGTGTATCCTAAGATAATTTGCTGTTTAGAAAGAAGAGTTTACATATTTTATCATTTTCATTTCTCAAATCTCTCAACACTCATTCATTGTTTGGTTGCTTTTCTGTTAGCTTTGTATGCTCATTTAAAAATTGTAATAAATATTCCTACAAAGTACATGTTACATTTCATTGATAAACAAAGTGATGGAAGATAATAAAGGTAACAAAAAAAGTCATCTTCTAACACTAACTCATAGTAAAACTGTCAGTAAACCAGGAATAGAATGAACTTCTTTAATATGGTAACAGGGCAAAAAAAGAAAACCCCTGTATGTAGTATACTTAATGGAGAAAGATAGAATGCCTTCTCCTTACTTTAATTTTTGCACCTTAGGACTGGAAACAAGGTAAGGATGCCTGCAGTTAACTTTCTTTCTAGCTAGTATAAGAAAAGATGATATAAAATGGCAGAGATGAGAAAGAATACCGTTCCTCCTTGCAGATGACAGTTGTCTATGCAGAAAAATTTTAAGGTATCTATAAAAAATAAATGAATAAAGGAAGGTTGCTTCTTTGGATGGTAGTACTAGGGATTGAACCCAGGGTCTTCACATTGAGCTACATTCCCAAGCCCCCAAACCTCCCCCCCTTTTAAAAAATTTGAAACAGGGTCTTCCTAAGTCACTAAGTTGTGCAGACTGAGCTTAAACCTGCAAGCGTCCTGTCTCAGCCTCCTACGGTGCTGGGAATTACAAGCCATGTTTATGATGAACACAGATGTCGAGGGAGGAGATGCCTGCATGGCTGTGATTTGTTTACAGTAAAAAAACAACACACTGAGGAACATCAGAACAATTCTCACTCTTAGAAAAGATATCTACAGACAAAGAAGAGAGTAGAAAGAACTTTCGAGTACTGTGTTGGATCAGAAATGGATGTACTTTTATAGTACATATAAAATATGTGAAAATAGTTACAAAGGTGCACATTTGTCTGTCTGTGAAGCCATACTTGTGATTTTTTACTTCTGCTGCCCACAGAAAAATTGGAAGTGACAACTCACTAGCACGAGCACACTGAACATCCAGAATGTGCCTTTTACATGCATGCTCTATCAAACGGAACAAGACTAAATGGAAAAATGTCTGATTCAGGATTTGGGTCAAGGGAGGTATAAGATGAATAGTAGAAAGGCTATCTTATAAATATAGATGGAATGATGGGAAAAGAGAATCACTATTTGACAAATGAAGGTTGATTCAGGCAGGAGCTATTAATGAACTCTAAGGGTAGCAGGTTGAGAACTGATGAGAAATGTGTATTTAAATATAACCGAATATGTCTTTAAAAATCCTAAATAATTAACAAGAGAAAACAGTGAATTTAGGATGGATAAATCTGGCAGTCATTGACACAAGCAAGAGAAAAATATTAATGTCAGAGCGGTGAGACAGGCAGGTCAACATCCTGCAGTCATGACATGATGGACTGAGAAGTCCTTGCAATAGAATTTCTGCAAAGAATTCATTATCTGAGACAGGTCATGAGAAAACAGGATTATCTCAGAGAGTGCAATGGCTGCATTCTTTTAAACTGTTAAGCACTGTACATGAAAAATAGAAAAAGACTAAGGAATTGTTTCAGATTGAAAAAGTCTGAAAACACGTGAGAGATGCAGCAGGATTCTGGGCAGAATCCTGGACTAGAACGAAAAGGTACTCACTTTGGGACAGCTAGTGAAATGTGAATGGGGCCTATGTGTAGATAATATGGTGTTATCCCAGAGCTGATTTCAGAATTTGGACAGCTGTACACAGACTACATAGGAGTCTGTCTTTGCCTTTTGGAATATTGGGGTGGGGTGTGGGAGAGAGGCAAACAGAATATTAATAAAATATTAAATTTTAATATTTAAAATACTTACCAATGACTTTAACAAAATAGGCATCTGCTTCAAAGTTATTCTTTAGTGTATGGATGGCAAAATCATTTTTTGTATATCCTTTACTCAGTACTATAATGTCCAAGATTCCCTGAAAAAAAAACAACAGAAGAATGGTAAGAACAAACTACTAGATGAATCAAGAAAAAGACCATTAAAATATATGGCAAGTGCTAGTTAGACAAGCATTTCCCAAAGTCCTGTGTGTTCAAAGCTTGGTTGCCAGCCTGTGGGACTTTCAAGAGGTGAGGCCTCGAAGGAAGTGAGGGCCCTGGGGCGGCCCCGGGATATGGGGACCCTGGCCCTTTTTTCTCCTTTTCTATTTCCCAGTTGCCCTGAGGTGAGCAGGCTTTCTCCATCACTAGCTCCTGCTATGATGAGCTGTAATACCAAGGCAGAACCCAATGAGCTGAACAACCCTGGGGCAAACTTCTGAAATTAAGGCCAAAATAAACTTTTATGCCTTTAAACTGATTATCACAGGTATTCTGTCATAGTGACAAACAGCATGTTTTACCATTTAAGTATAAATCTTATTTACTCAAGCTGATGTATAAAATAAATTAAAAAGTACATATATATACAGATACACAACTTTAAATAGTAACAGATGAAAAACATTTAATTTTATCTTTGGACATAAATGTTAATATTTTGGTATATTTCCTTCTGGCCATATTTGCATACATTTTATTTTTTCTTTTTCACGTTTTTGCATACATCTTAAAGTATCTGTTACAGGGGTTGCCAGATCCTTTCCAGCCATAAGAGAAAGAGAGGACAGACCTTTTCATTTGCTCCTGCCATCACTGTGTACTATTTTTTTTTTCTTGACTAAAAGGGGACGCTTTGGTAATTTTATTGAAGAAAAGAATGAGGGCTCATTTACAGTGGCATTCCTTCGGCTCTCCTCAAGGGGCTGGCTATTTATCATATATTCATGTACAGTTTTCCCTGTAAGTTGACTGTGTTCTACTTTTCCAGAGTCTTTTTTTTTTTTGCAATGTATCCATTTGTATGAATTTTTTTATAGTAAGGTTATTAATTATTTGACTCATTCATAGCAAAATTATTTCCCCAATTTAAAAACAACTTAAAATTTCTTTTATAATTTTTTTTTTTTTTTTGGTACCAGGGATTGAACTCGGATCCTTGTGCTTGCGAGGCAGGCACCGGAACCACTGAGCTAAATCCCCAGCCCCTCTTTTATAGTATTTTTGATGTACAGAATTAAAAATTAATGTGTAGTCAATTCTCTTGATTGTCTTCTCCTTTGTAATATTTCTGTCAATTACTTTTTTGCTTGGAAACTGCTACTGTAAACTGAAATAAGATTTGGTAGTTGGACAAACAGGAAAACAAAGATTTGTATAATTTGTAATTGAGAATAAGCCTCTTATAAAAGAACAAAATAAAACCCCAAACTGGGCTAATGGAGACATAACTGTCCTGATGGGAATTTAACTTTTAAAATGAATGATTTTGCAAGGATATACTTGGATACATTAACTGTTATTTAATTGTTTTTCTTCAAAATTCATTATTTTTCTGAGCAGTAATCTGACTTTTCTTTTCAGGAGGGGAAACTGGAAAGCCTTTCACAAGGTCACCTGGCAATCAAAGAGAATTACAAGGATTTGCAGCAATAGGTGCTACTTCCACCACAAAAAGAAGATTGAGCATGGAGTTCATCCTTCTGTGATCTTCTCAGGCTTAAGTCTGCTCTCCCTTGACTCTGCTTCTATGGATTCATCAGTGTGAAAGCATTCTTTGGAAGTTTAATCCCAATGAGCACAAAATGAGAAAAGGGCATTTTCCTATTTGATTATAGCAATCTGTCAATTTTTTCTCCCTCTACTATATAACTTCCAAAGGCCTTTCTTTAATAAATTCTTTGCTTTCATATCATCTATATTTTCTGATCAAAAAGGGTGAAGGTAAAGTGAAATGAGGTAGATGGCAATTAAACCCCAAACACACAGGATAACTGTGAACTTACATCTTCGTAAATGTCAAAAAAGGTGGCAACCACAGCATCTCTGATTTGATTTAGGTCTGTCAGGTCCCAGTAGACTTTAAACATCCGATGAGCCCCCTCACAGCTTGCACTGTTACAAGGAACATTCTCCAGTAAAAAAGCCTGCTGGTTGCTGTATAACAAACAAAAGACACTTAATTATACAACATATCAATGCTATACACCAACAGCTGTGCTGTGTTTTCTAGAATCAAAGGAGATGGGAAATGAAGATTAGAAAAATTCCTTCAGTTTTTGATTATTGTACAGTTATTTAAGAAAAAGTTATTTGCTATGTTTTCTCAACCTCTGGCAAAAATCCTCTGATTTTCTGAGGCCATTCAGCTAGCTGTTGGCCTCTTCCCTCTTTAAATGGAATTTCTAAATCTATCCCTCCTTCTTCCTTTCTTACTCCACAGTCACAGACCCTGTGTCCCATTATTTCATTCCTTGACCTGTAGATGTGTATTACTACTCAATGAGTATTTGAATTTTAACTGGAAACTCCTGATACCCCCAAGACTGTAAACTCAAAGTAACGAATCTACAACAGCAGAATTTCACCTACTCCAACACATAGTAAGGTAGATACAGTGGACCCTCAAGTTATGACTGGCCTGACATACGAACAACTTAGGTTAGTTAGGTTAAGGGAAGATTCATCTGCCTCTTGTTATTTACAGCATATATCCAGGGAAACATCCAGATGGGTCTACTATACTGCTCAAAATCTCTCAGATAACAGAACAGCTATGGAGTCCTTTCTCTTAAATTTTACACTACGGACAGAGTAGTCATTAGCTTAGATTATTGGATTCAAATCCTGGCTCTGTTGTTTAGCAGATAAATGACCCTGAATAAGTTATTTAACCTAAGAACAAGATCCTCCTTTGTAAACTCAGTAAGAAAAGTTTTTACAGCATGAGACTATTACAAAAATAAAACAAAATATGAAACAGAAAAGTGTAGTACTTGGGACAATTCTTGGTTAGCCTTTAGCAAAAGTAGTACATATTACCATCATTCCTATTATGAAGTGCAATACAATGCCAAGTAAAAATATTTACTTTAGCTATAAAAGTAACTTTGTAAACTATGATCTTATGTAATGGCTCTTATTTGTAGTCATTTTCCATATATAATATGTATACAAACACATGTATATGTATATATGTACACACAAATATAGTAATAGCTTTTATAGCCATTCCCCATATACATAGTATGTATATATGCATACACACATATAAAATGACTTTTATAAGCATCTTCCATATATATGTACATAAACATATGCACATACATGCATATACATATATACATACGTTCCTTCACTTCATACTATGTCCATAGAAAATAATAGACTACTAGTTTATAGGGGTTAAATTTTATTATTGTTCAACTTTTCTAATTACTTTAATTAAATATGTAAAGACAGACTCCTTGTGTTTAGTAAAAATCTTAATCTGTGTCTGGGTTATTAGGAAAAGAGAAACAGTCTCAATTATAAGAAAGGAAAATTTCTAAATGTTTAACACAGATTGGAGACCTAGGTACAAAATATTCATGCATGATGCAATAATGCATGATTGGCTTATTTTTTTCAGATAAATATTCCAATAGGAACACTGGCCAAAATAATTCTTTAATGAAAAAAAAATCTCAGACTACAACATTTACTGGGAAAATTTTAGGTTGCGTTTGTTCAAGACCTAACATGTAATAGTATTCCTCCACTAGAAAGAATAAATAATTTCTTGGTTTTTTTCTCCAACAATTGTTTTTTAATTCTAATTTATAATATTTTTTCTGGTAAATTACCTATTCTAACTTTTAAGACAATTTTACTAGAAACTTTATAGAGATGAACCATACTCTAGTTTGTTATTAGATCATATTAAAATATGAGAACATGTGATACAAGCAGGCTTTCTTCCATATTCTATGACCAATGTACCCTACTTGGCAGCCTTCTGAGTGAGCATCTACCCTGTTTCTCTTTTCAAAGCCACTGCATAGATTTCATGATTATAACACTGGTCACAATTTCAAATATACAACAGTAACCTAAAACAAAACCTTTACTGTAGTTGCATAATGTCATTTTTAGGTTAGGCACAGTAGCACATCTCCACAATCTCTGCTACTTGGGAGGATGAGGCAGAATTGTTAGTTCTAGGCCAGCCTGGACAACTTAGTATGACCCTGTTTCACAGTAAAAAATAAAAAGGGTGGGGATGTAGCTCAGTAGTAGAGCAACCCTGGGTTCAATCCCTAGTACTGAAAAATATTCATTTTCAATTTTTGATAAATGTTTATAAAAATTATAAATGTCTTTGGGATCACTAACTGCCTTTGTCTTGTACTGTGGAACTTGGGATGTGTAAAAGTTCAATCTTTTAAATTACACTGAATTCTAAAGGCAGAACTCAGCATTTTACCTTTAAAAATAAAATCTGATTTAAGCTCAAGAGGGAAAAACCTTGATACATTTTATTTTGAAACTCTTGGAAAGAATGTATTTGCTTCTTTTGAATCACTTTCTCTATATTCTTGAAAATTAGAATTAATGAATCTTTAAATTTTCTTTTCATATCAAAACAAAAACTACTGTAAAATTCAATAGACATGTTTTTCAAAAGTCAAAATCTTTCCTTTTCAGGAATAATTATTGTTAACAATTTTCTGTGTATCTTTCTAAATCTTCTAGACACATACAAATATGTAAGTACATATATCCTTAAAAAACAAAAAAAAAACCCCAAACTAAATGGAGTTGAGGTATACACATTTTTCTGTGACTATTTTTTCCACTAAATAACAATATTCATGAATAAAAGACATACTGTCAGATTGAAGATTTTTGATATCTAAGTTGCATCATCTTTTATCTCTCACCAGTAGCCCATCAAATTGTGTATTTCTCTAGGCTTGTTCTTTCCAAAGCCCACGACTAAGAGGTAATTCATTTTAACATTCTGTTATTGATGGGCAAGTTGCTGCCAACTGCTCTCCATCACATACATGCATGCACACACACATTCGTGGAAGTTATTTTTCTTTGGGAACTGGTAGAAGGATTTCTAGATGATAGCCACTGGGCCAAAGGATATACATATTTTAAATGTTAACAGGTAAAGCTAAATGGTCCTTTAGAAATATACTAATTTACACTTCCAGCAGTGTGTATTTCATATCTTGCCAATACTATTGGTATGGCTTCTTACTCTTATCAGTTGAATAACTTAAAAATATGATCACATTCTTCTGACTATTTGTAGCTAAGTATTATTTTATATTTATTAGCTATTCATACTTTTGTGAATTGCCATTTAAATCCTTTTCCTTATTGATTTTTGGATCTCTGACTGTTACTCTTAGATCCTTATTTGTAAAACGGGAATAATAATAGTACATTGCCTCAAATCACCACTGTAAGGATTAAATAAGAAAATGCACAGTAAAGTGTAGTATAGTGTCTGGTACATAGCACAGTACCACCTTTAATAACTGCTATTATTATTTATTATTATTACATTGCTATTATTACTTTGATATGTTGAAAATATTTCTTCCCTTTTTCTTCTTAAAATTTTGTTCATATCCTTCACTAAAAGATTTATAATATTTAATATAGTCATTTATGGCAATAGTTTTCCTTCTAGGACTTTAAAAAGATAAAGTTAAAGATCTAACCTATAAAAACTAAGCTATCTCAAATGAAGAGGAAAAAAAAATCAAAGAAAAAAACCAAGATCGACAACTTAAATCTAACTATACCAATACTGCCACAAAACAAAAATAGCTTAAATCCACAAATAAAAGCTATAAATTATAAGACTGGATTAAAAAACTAAGACTCAATTATATTCCACCTCTAAGAAATCTACCTTAAATAGAAAAACAGATGAGTCACGCGGAAGACGCCTAATCAGCCCGCTGCAGACAGGTAGGTCTGTGCACGCCCTACTGAGGTCCTGAATCACGCGGCAGACTCCGAATCACCCCGCTGCGGACAGGCAGGTCTGCCCACACCCTGCCAAGGTCCCCAGTCACACAGAACACACGCCGAATCAGCCCACTGCAGACAAGCAGGTCTGTGCACGCCCTACCGAGGTCCTGAGTCACGCGGAACACGCCGAATCAGCGCGCTGCAGACAAGCAGGTCTGTGCACG